ATGTCGTTCCACATTTTCACCATCAACACTACGTCTATGATCCGGTTTCCTTCTATCACAGGCTCGGAGTTGGATTCTTCAGCTGTAACAGTTGCTGGACATGGTCTGTTTCCAGTATCTGCTGCTACCAGGGAAAGGCCATCAGGACTAGGCTTGGTGATCAGCTTAAATTCCTGGGTGGTCAGTCTTCTGGTCAGAGCTGGTCTCTCTTCTCTGGTGACAGGCATTTCAGGATCTTCATCTTTAAATGACTGGCCCTTATTCTTTGGAACATTTCCAAGCTTGAAATAATTGTTCCTTCTCTCTCTGTCTCCTTTCATATTGGTAATGGTCAGAAGTGGTCAGCAGTTGTCAGTCAGAAGTAGTCAGATGTATTAAGAATACAAAAATCAAAGTACTGAAAGAACTGGTATGCTAAGACCATTAAAAAATAAATTCTTTGGTATTAGCTTGCTATATACTGAAACCAACTATATGCAAGCAGTAAATCATTGCAGCCCCAAGATGCAATGATAGGGAAGTTGTCAATTTCTTTGGATACATTGTAGGGAATGTTGATCTTGGACGCCATATTATCACTTTAAAGACTGCGTATCTTACTGGCTTAAGACCATTAGTTAGACCATCATGCAAATAACATGCTACATACAAATAATGGACAGCTTCATTTTCCAGATTGTTTGTAAATGACTGCATAAGAGTGCCAATTTTATAAAACAAACATGATTTATCACAACTTAAAATAGAAGATGCCTATTCTTCCGGCACACCTGGTCTTATTCTCCTTATACTTTTTCAGGGGATCTTCAAGTAGATATTGTCTTTGTTTCAATTTTACACTTGTTTTGCTGGTTCTACAATTCTGTTGACATGTTTATATATTCTTTGTTCTCTAAAACTTGTCGCAAGATATTTTATTCCTCTTGTATTTTCATTTTTTAACAGCCTTACAGTGACCTTGAACCTTGAAATTTGCAAGATGTGAATATCTTTTAGGTTGTGAAATTTTCCGTTTTTTGACTGACCTTGATCTTTGACATCTGACCCTGAATTTCTAAAGAAACCTACTTCTCCTCATAAGGGATACATGTTCCAAATTTGATTAAGGTATACTAACTGTCTTAGTCTCAATGCGTTTACAGGGTAATCATATAGTACTGTGACCTCTACATTCAATCCTCAAAATCATTACTATATCCTATCCACATTGCCCAGGGATAACTGAAACTGTAATCCAAATAACTAATACCCCCAACACCCACAGCCTTAGTTATCTCCCCATGGTGACCCTTTGCACAGAAACATCCTCTGAAGCACAGCGGCATGTGCACATGGTCCACAGGTTTAGAAGTTCACCGACATGCAAAACCTGTCTATATTGACCAGTTGCCATGGCAATCAATATTTGGAGGGAAAATGGTGCATGCACATCTACACATTGTCCTGAATATTACTGTAAAGTTTCATTGGATTTGTCCAGACAAGACGTGTCTACAGACAGACAAACAGATGGATGGACAGATAGACAACTTGATTCGATTTACCCACCCTTTTGGTGGTATAAGAATGCACAAGAGTGCTTACAAATTCTATGTGGACAGACATCATGGAAAAATAATAATAATGAAAATAATAATAATAAAAACATGATAAAGATGCTTATATCTTGTTTTATTCAGTTTTTAGATAAAGTATTCTTTCCATGCTTTGATCAGCAATTTAATCCTAGTACAAAATTGCATACACAAAATTGTTGTAGGTAGACTTTTAAGATAAATAAAAAAAATACATGCCTAAGTTTAAAGGAAGGTTTTAAACAGAAGTTGTATTATGTTCAGTATACAGTGATTTTTCTAGACAATTGTAAACTATAAACACGGTATACAGCGATCTTTTCTACACCTTTGCAAACAACAAACCCAGTATGCGGTGATCTTTTCTACAAAACGTTTTTTTATATATTGTATACACTTAACTCAGAAAAAAAGTAAACCTTTCTATGTACACTACAAACTCAGTATACAGTGATCCTTTCTACACAAACTTGGTATAACTAGTGAATCTTTCTACTCAAGTAAATTGAAGATTTTATACAAATTTACTACAAATGCAGTATACAATGATCTTTTCCACATTTTTTTAGTTTCCGCGATTTGTTGATTCTTCTTTTGTGATGGTAAATGGTAAATATATTGCCGCCTTTAGAGAGTACTGTGACCTTAAAAGGCAACATGGTTGTTAGCATCTCCTCAAGTGATTCATCATCTTCAACATCTAATTGGAGGCCGGAAAGAAGGACGTTTTTCTCCACCAAAAGGTCCTCAAATCCATTGTTGGTCACAATGGCCAATTCCAAGTTAGAAGAATCAATAGAGATACCTTCTACCATTCCAGATTTCATTTCTTCAGGGACATCCACCTGCTGAAAGAGAGTAAGGGAAATAAATAACTATATATCTTTATTGCTATGATTATGTGCAAGAAATATACACTTCTGTATAAGCTTATAGTCTTGAACTTCCCAATAGGAGTCTATATTAAAATTGTAATTAATTATTTTGACGTTCAGGACTGTCAACTTATTAAGCGATGGACAGCTAGCAAAATAATATCTTGACCATGGTCATACAGAGATTGAATTTGTTAAATTAAATTAAATTAAAGTCAAATTTGTGTGATAAATCTGTGCAGTATGATAATTTGATAATTTATTTTGACGTTTGTATTTCAAAAATCAATTTGACTTGAAAAGTAATGTGTAATTTAATTGATTACATTGGACCGTCATGTAATGGCAATGCCATTTTCATAATGTAATTGTAATTTAATTAATTACATTATCATGTAATTGAACCCATGCCTGTTACAAACAGTAGCTGTCCCTAACTGATCCTAAAATTAACTTTGGCTACGTCTATCACAAAATTAACTTTGGCTGTCTATTACAAATGCCACATTTAGCTACAGTGGAGGTATTTCAAAATTGTATGTCATTGTAGCTGAAAGGACATAATTAATGGTTACTTAACCAGAACTACAGTTCTGAACAAACCACTACAAAGCCTGGTTAACTGTACTAAGAAAATGTCCTCTCAATTAATCAATTTCATTGATTATTGACATCTTATTGTTGTACTTAAAGTCACTTGAGTTTCTTAAAAGTTACAATTTGACTTTTAATAAGGCCCAAAATGATAATACTGCAATGTCTTAATTAGCTCTCGAGGGGTATTGGTTAGACTATTTATCTCATTTCATTCCATTCACCATGAAAACAAAACGCTAAAAAAAACAGTCGAAAATTAATGACAAATATTGAGCCTAGGGCTGGGTAAAATTGATGAATCAAAAGTGTTGAACTGAAAGTGGACGCAGTTGACATAATACTGAAATTTCTGAGATGAACAAATACAGTACATATATCAAAAAGTTCAATTGTACCAATAATACTTTACACATTCACACTGGGACTTTACACATTCACACACTTTACACATTCACACGTTCACACTGGGACCTAACACTTTGCTAGGTTTATCCTAATCTTTATTAAAATACTTTCCGGGAATCAGATGTTAATTGACATCTTCATTATTCCTAATCTTCATATTGTAATCGTTCACATGCATCACTCTTCTACAGAATCAACAAGACATCATGTCAGAAAGACAAAAACTAAAATTAAGCTAAAACTATATATATTAACTTCACATGTAAACCTTAAAATTAGCATAGCTGTAGAGTTCCCGTACGATTTCATACTCTGGCCTTTGGCCGTTGGGGTACTTATAAATTATCTCCGATCAGAAATTTGAAAGAGCTAGACCTACAATAGCGCGGACAGTGACAGATATTTTAAAGTAAAATCGATATATTACCCAGACAGATTCCTAGATCTATTCACGGTAGCGTAAGTAGTACAGTACAATATTACGGATAAGTTTTTTTTCTGGTTAATTTCCGATCTGTTGGGCCACTGACAGAAGTGACTGCGATGAGACCATTATGAAACGATCATTCCAAAATAAATCCATTTCAAAATACTGAAATACTTTACGGAAGCAACAAAAATGTGCTAGATGCTTACATAACATTTTTCAAATGCATACTGCTTCAAGGGAAAAGTCTTGAAAATATTTTGAAAAAAAAGTGCTATGGCGGCAGTGCCCAGCTTACGCGTCGCCGTCAAGCCTAAATTCAATAGACGCGAAGGCTCATTCCAAATGAATTGTTGCAAAAAATGCAATTGATAGTTCAGTATAAGTATTGACTTCAAATTCAGCTAACATATATATATATATAGTGATACTTACCTACATGAATTACCCGCCATCTTCTTTCAGCCGCCGTCTTCTTTCAGGTTCCAGCAGCACAGAGCACCCCGGCTGTTTCCGTCAAAATTTTATGCTACTCTAAATCATTCTTATTTTAGTTTCATTTTTATTTTCAACTACATATATCAGTATTTTTAATAGTTATCAACAGTATTAAACGGGAAGTAAATTTTCGAAAAAAGAAAAATAGAAAGATATACAAATGTATATGACTCCCACAATGCATCGCGCGGAAAAGAAAGTTAAGCCGCCATATTGGCATCGCCTCGCAAAATTTACCACCATAAACGTGAGTCTTTGTCATTGTATTTACAAATTTCGATGTCTGATTATCATTAATACACAACACAAAACATTTTCTTGATGTACAGGTAATGAAGAAAATGTCGATAAGGTTGTTTCATTTAATGACTAGCATCAGCAACTTGTAGGGGCGATAATCCAATGATTACGGTAATGTCCAGCAGATGGAGTAGGAGTAAACTTTCGATTTATGAACCAATGAATACGAAGTACTGATACTCAGCCTCAGGGGCGATAGCAACATGCTGAAGAGCATTGAAAATGCTCTTAGCATAAAAAGGGTAAAATTTTCTCAAAACTGTTGGTAAAATTCCCAATTGATACCTGACTTTATTGATGGCGGTGAATATTTCTGATATCCTACTAATTGCCAGTTTCTGCCCAAGCACCGTAAGTGTTTGTTTTTGTGGGTTTTTTTTCTTCAATGTTCAAGCGTTTACGTGAGCCCAAGACCATTTGTACGTTTGAACGGAACCCGCATTCTGCCTATTAAGCAGATGATTCGAGAACAGATTTCAACTTAAATACGACACCTATATAAGTTGTACTGAACAACGCAAACTATATTATAAGAATCTATTCTCGAATTCTGTCATGTTAAAACAGTGTGTAGTGACACTAACTTGCTTAATTATCGTCCCAAAGTGAAACAAAACAAAAACATGGGTGCCACCATTTTGTATGCTGGGGTGAGACTAAAAACAAGATCTGGGGTGGAATCTAGACAGAGCATGCAGTACGGAAATTACTGATTAAAGACAAAGAAAAATGAGAGCATGAGAATCTCTTAAAAATTTCAAAACTAGGAAAGTTTACCTGTAATTAACATTACGGAACTATAATGTGGCCATTTATTTTCAGAAACCTTTGAAATGATTACAGTACGAGAACTCGGTCAATATAAAAACATAGGAATTTTTTCCGGCCAATATAAAAACATAGAAATTGAAAAAAATTACTTTGTTTTGGCTTTAATAAGTAATTTTTAATTTTCCCAATTTCCTGAAAATGCTGCTTAAAAAAAAAAACTGCACTAACACTACCTATGTAAATGTTCTGTTGGGCACTTGGATGGATTTTGTTCTTAATATGCAATGGTCTACCTGCAAACTATGCCCAGCTGAAATTAGGACACCATGCAATAAACCAGGATGCTATCTTACATACCAGTACTGTTTGCCTTTGAAGACACATTCAAAAATATATGTGTCATCCTCACTTTGATGTGGTTCATCTGTCCTTATGACACCACAATACTCCAGCACAGTGTCCCCTTTTGGTATATATTTTTTTGCCAGCACACCTTTACCTATGGGAAAAGATTACATTTTGATATTAAATTCTGCATATTTAATTTGTCAACTATAATCTTAACACACAATATCTAATGACTGATGCTAGCTCAAATAAATCTCAGTCTGAATACATAATATATAAGTTTAACACAAATTAATCAGAATTGTATAATGAATTAATTAGATGATGATGTGACATATGTAAATAATGTACTGTCCTGAACACTATAAGTGAGATTTATAAGCACTAGGATCGGCAGTTAAATTTCTTATTTACTATATCATTAATACCATCAAGTCCTTGTGCAGTTGTAAATCATTACTCTTCTATTCTGTAGTTTTAGCAAAAAATTATTCTTGAAGTAAATCGACATGCATGAAAAAGAAATAAAATATATATTAAACACTTTTCTTTTTATGTCTGACAATAGATTTAATGATCCTTTTAAATTGTTCTGAATGGATTTTCAATACAAAAGATGCTATACCTTTTTTTGGTATATTTACAATGATGAAGTCATCAAGTGGCCTTGTCTTTGGACCATTACTCTTTTTCTGAAAAGAAAATATATTACACAATTATAAAAATCTGTTAAGATTTCAAGAAAAATCTCTCAAAAATGGGGCTATACAGAAATTGATGGTTAAAAAAATTAGGCTGTCATGAGTTCCCGGACACGGGTCGGGTTTGAACAGTGACCTGTTTCAAAAATGTCTACCCGAGTACATGTCAAAATAGGAAATATTGGTCTTATGTCAATGTTACCAGTAAAACTTTATTAAATCAATAAAATTTCTTACTCTGATGACATTACAATTTCTGTATCCAATATGTTCACACGCAACAATGTATTACTAATGTTTATACTCACACTTGTATTTCATTACAGAAACCATCACCTCTGGCTCAAGCAGCCATGTGTACTTGAAACCTTAATCATGGTCGTATACATGTATAAAACTAGCTAGAGACTTTCCGGATCAGAATTGTCATGGGACTGCTACTTTCTGTTGGGCATATTATATGCAAATTGATTTCTTCATATTCTGTCACAACGTTAGCATTATAGAGCCTAATCCTCTCGTTTACAGGATGAAGTTTTGCAATGAGTAAATACTGAAATATCAGCAAGTAACACAAATGATTTTATCATACCCCCCCCCCCCCCCCCCCCCTTATATGAGACTGTATCAACACACTACACGTAGGTAAATTTGTCCTCTCTGTGCATGTAACACTGTATGCATGTAGACTAACGACTCATGACCATTGTTGGTTACGGGTCAGGTATTGAAATTCGAGTACTCGGGGCCAACATTTTGTACCCGTGACAGCCTTAAAAAAATCTAATAGCACTAGGAACAAAGCTATGTTCTCCTACAAACTTCCTTTTGTTCTTATACAAATTACATTCTGCTCAACAAATTTCATGCAAAACAAGTAGATACCAGACATTACAATACACTATCACTTCTAACCTTGTAAAATTGATGGAGTTTCTTTTTGTGATATTTTATTTATCAATTGCAGGAAGTAGTCATAGTATTATAATAAGAGTGGACCAGTATTCAGACCCAGAATTCAGGAAAACATAATTTTTTTTTCTTTCCTTTTTTCAATACAGCTGGAGATAAGTTACATGTATAATGAATTTTGACAAGTTAAATGTGTTCTCTCCTGGCTGCTTTACCAGACAATATGTTGGACACAGATTAAACTACTGCAGTTTAGCATTATACATGCATGCATCAGGTGCAATTTCAAAATTGCAGTGGGGGAAGTAAAAAGTCCTCATCATACATTGATATATAATATATTACAGTCAGCCCACTCAACCCAGACACTAGGGCACTGGCTTAGAATTATATAAACAAAGGAGGTGTGAACCACCTGTAATCGGCCTAACCCCTTAATTAAGGCAAGAGTAGTCTGAAGGGTTCTGACTATCTCACCACGATTTTATTTTTGACATGGTCGCGGTCAATAGTTAGAGTATTCTTCCTTACAAAAAAAACGCGAACTGCAAGGGTCGGCGTTCAAGCAATATTTTAGATAATTTATGACAACGCGATATTTATAAATTATACGTCGATTGAAAGATAAAACATTTTTCTACCTACAGTGTACGTGCATATGTATCAAAACAATTAAATGTTGTAAACTATCTACACTTACTTCCACTTATTTTATTATTTGAAATGACCGTCACTATGCGGAATCTCTCCAGATTTGTGCTTGTAAACATAGCAAAAATAAATGAGCGGGAATGTCAAGTTACAATGACAAATCTAGAGAGATCCCGCACAGAGGCGGCCATTATAAGCAAGTGGGAAATAAAGTTGTTGAATCAGGCTATTTTTAACAAAGTTAATTCAGTTTTAAATGTTGGAAAGCTATATAATTTTTCATGGGGGCTAGCTACCGTTGTTAAGATAAAATGTGACAGATAACTTACCTCTGTTAAAGAACGCAGTCTTTTCGTAAGAGGCATAGCGCCTCACTCCTCGGAGAGGCGCAGCCGATGTCAGCTTATGTATTGTTAAGAAAAAGAACACGGAATCTGACGAAACGAAATGTACTTATCTAGCTCGAAAGATATAACTTGTCTCAAGATTAAAATATTGGAATGCCATGTTTTATTTCGGTATATGCATATTGCTGTCCGTATACTTCTATTACAGTAAGAGTAAGCGAGAAAAAAGGTTGCGCGTCGCTTCTTTTAAAATTGTAATTTTATACGCACCCAAAAGTTTTCCCCGCCAAGTGTGTACGAAGTTTAATGAAAGTTAAACACACCATCGATATTTTTGTGTGAAGAGCATCACACACTGCCCAATTTTGGGACAAAGAAAGGACGGGCTTTTTTGTAAAAAAAATGAAAATTTATTGCTGAATAAGGAAAATTAGGAGGTGGAAAAGAGAGGACCTCCAAAATGTCCTCCCTTTACGAAAGGTCCTTTCTTTGTTGGTGTTGATTCTAATGAAAGTCCTCTGTTTCCCCCTTTACAAACGCACACATACACACACACACACACATACACACACACACACACACACACACACAAACAAACAAACACATACACACACACACACATACACACACACACACACAATGTATATGTTCTGATTTATCGATCTTTATTAACACATGATGTCTTTAAGGTACGTCGTTATGTATGTATACACCACTCTATACAATGACTTTAACAAGCAATCCGCACAGATAGACACTTTCATTCCCATTCACATATACCTATATTCCGACCCAAATTTGTCGTAAACTTGCCGGGGAAATGGCCAGAGCTAGGATGTATTCTGTGTACATATATATATATATATCACGGTTACCAAGATATAGACACATACATATAAATGCGGTAATTGTTACCAGAGAAGAGCGCAATAAGAAGGTAGTGTGAGAATATCTGTCTGAGATTTTTATCCGTAACAGTATTACTTACAGTTAACCTTTACTTAATATTATGCAGAGCAGGGCGATTTGTGAGGGACAAATTGCTGTGTTATATCATCAGTCCCTCTATATCTTCCCATAGAACATGTAGAAATAGCTTAAAAAATCGGAAAGATGACTTCAAATTAATCTTAAATTTGTTGTAAGCAAAATTTGAAAGATCATGGTCATAGTCACACTATACACAAGATTGCCAAGCTCACGTATGATGGACAGAAGGGATAAATGCGTTATGTTTGATGGTTTATCCTAGGATCTTTTGTGATTAGATGTATAAAAATGTCACAAATGTAAACTTTTGGAAAATCCTGCCGATCTTTAGAAGACACAGACTTGTTATCGCTGATCCCGTCGTGACGTATATAGCACCAGCCTTGGATGCTTGATAGATAATTACCGCTGTTAAAACATCACTGTCTGAAAAATCTGTCAATGTTTGGAGGATATCTGTCCGTGTCTGATGTACTCAAAACACTGTTATCAGAGCTCTGAATCTTACTGCTGTATTATAACTCAAATTCAAATGTAATATTGTTTGATACTGTGAAAACCAGGCTCGTTTTGAGGTAGGGTTTCACATTAGTTGCTGCAGCTACCTCCAAGAACATAATGCTGGAGGGCATGTAATGTTACCTATAGTAATTACAGTAAATGTACAACTATACCACCATATTTCCAGCTTTCTGAGGTACATAAACCGCCCTTAGGTAAGGATCGGACTATACACACTGAATCTTTACCTGCAGTTACACACTGTGAACTCTTTCCTACATTGTAAAATCTTACCTACACTGTGAACTCTTACCTGCATTGTAAACTCTTTCCTACACTGTGAAGTCTTACTTGCATTGTAAACTCTTTCCTACATTGTAAAAGCTTACCTACATAGTAAACTCTTACCTACATTGTAAACTCTTTCCTACATTGTAAAAGCTTACCTACATAGTAAACTCTTACCTACATTGTAAACTCTTTCCTACACTGTGAACTCTTTCCTACACTGTGAACTCTTACCTAGATTGTAAACTCTTTCCTACATTGTAAAGTCTTATCTACATTGTAAACTCTGACCTACATTGTAAAAGCTTACCTACATAGTAAACTCTTACCTACATTGTAAACTCTTTCCTACACTGTGAACTCTTTCCTACACTGTGAACTCTTTCCTACACTGTAAACTCTTTCCTACACTGTAAACTCTTTCCTACACTGTGAACTCTTACCTACACTGTGAACTCTTACCTACATTGTGAACTCTTACCTACATAGTAAACTCTTACCTACATTGTAAACTCTTTCCTACACTGTGAACTCTTTCCTACACTGTGAACTCTTACCTACATTGTAAACTCTTTCCTACACTGTAAACTCTTTCCTACACTGTGAACTCTTTCCTACATTGTAAACTCTTTCCTACACTGTGAACTCTTTCTTACACTGTGAACTCTTACCTACATTGTAAACTCGTACTGATATTGTAAGCTCTTACCGTGTTTGTAAAAACTTACCGACTCTACCATGCACCCCAACTACTTTGGTAGACAACCCTCATATTCTACGAGTTTTCTTTGTACTTGTGAACATAACTAAACAAAAGACTTCCATCATGTTAAATCTTTAGACACTATTCGTCTGTTTACCGACAAGGATTTGTGATACAACGACTGTGAGCTGTTGGTTGTAGGTCCATTTTATTTGTCTCTTAGATCTTACATGATATTTGACTGTCATATTTTATGTTTGTCGGGATCAGTAAACACAAATAGGACAAGGTAATTAAAACACATTACCAAGCTAACCAAGAAACGGCTTAGTGATGTCTTTGCATTTTCAATTTTAAACCATTTCTGTTATCGTGTGCATGCTGACACAGTTGTCCACAGGGGAGAAGCAATATTCACTTTGCTTTTCGCGATGAAGCGATAGTGTCTGTCTTAGAAGAAAAAACCCAAACAAACACCAAACAAACATGTAAAACACGGCATATCTCCGACATTTTCAGTTTGTTAAAGAACGTAGCACTAACACTTCAGCAAGTCCCGTGCAAAATGGAACAGATGTTATTGTCGGAATGTTACGGAGGATAGATTTGTGGTGAAACGAAGGTGACCACTTTGAGAACCACTGTACAGGTACATTCCTGTGTTTCCTAGTGTTATCTGGTTCTAGTCGAGAACGTAACACACACTACTTGGATTTACATGGCGGGTGCTCTGCCTGATACAGAAGACGCTTTCCCTTCCAGAACACCAGGATTATCCGTGTTAATGTTTCTTGTCTTAATTTTCTGCACACGTGTCATTGACTTGAATTTAAATCTTATAAACATATGTGTACCTTTTGGCTTGTTGTTGTTTTCCCTTTTGTTCTGAATTTCATTTAAAAGTGCGATAGAAGTTGTGGTGTGATTTGTCGTTTCCTAGGCTTAAACACTTATGGCCTTAGCATCACCGACGAGTCCTAAAAGGACGAAACAGCTGTATGATACTGTTTAATTTCTTGTTTAGCTCTACTCTATGGAACCCTAAAATTCTCTCAGAAGGCACTATTTGATAACGAGGCTCTTGCACAATCTTCAAAAGAAAGTTATGATTGTAGCGGACATCAAAATGTAGGCTTTTTGCAGGTTGAAATGTAGTTGTAGGTAACTCCAGTGTACCTTGCTAGGATCTAATGTTCCGTGTATGTGGTAGATTAGCCATGAAGCTTTGTTATATAGGTTCAATTTTTGTAACACATACAAACATAAATCTGGGTTGTAGTGAAAGGCCGAGATACAGGACGAGGATCAAAAGGACAATATATTTGTCGAAACAAACAAAGCCAGTGCGTGACATTCATATCCTTTCGGAGAGCAACATCATGGCAACAAATAGTAAAATGTCACCAAGAATAATTTTTAAAAAAAAATATCGATTATGCAGACAATGAAGTTTTCCACATAGCCACTTAAGGTTACCAAGGAACTATTAATATCACCAAGCCACGGCTTCCGGTAATTTTTCACTTTATGGTCTCCACAACTAATCACGAGTAGTCCATCTATGATCGCCAAACGGTTGTACAACCTTCTGTAAAAATGGGAAGTTTTTCTTCAACTGACACGAGAGAACGTTGCATCCTTTATACTTATTTCTGTTACAGAAGCGAGTTCTAAGTAGAAACTTCCGTCGTTAATGTTTTACTTAAGCCATGAGATAGCCCGGAAACAGCTTACACTGTGATTACCTTTAAGCCAATGATACTTTTAGAAAAATCCAAAATATTGTCAGAGCCTGTTGGAAACCACTTAAACGGAAGTTTCATATACATGTGCTTTATATATTAATATAACCGTATTTAAAAGACATGCACGTGTTTCGTCTATATTTAATATCAACAAATTATAACGTGTATATGAATAAGCTTTGAGCTTAAAATTTTAGTACGCCAGTCCTACTGAAGTTCACGACTGCATTCTTGTTGATTTATCAGAAATTCAGTAGTCACAATGGCGTAGAACCCAAGCTATATATAGATTATAAGATTATATAATGATATTAATTCCTATCTGGACCGAACTCTATCACAGTTATAAAACAGATGGACATCGAAATAGCGATCTTAGGCACCAAAATCTATCACAAACAAGATTGTCGCTGGGTAAGTCATCATCTCAGGAGTTTCTGTTTCTCCTAGGAAGGATCATATATCCTACTACTGAAATCAATATACAAGCATATGACGTTTCAGAAACCCCAAGGGATCTTAAAAGTTAATTTTCTGAAATACACGTGCTTGAATAATAATATTCATTCGTTTTGTATGCATCATAACCACATGGAAATATGCATGGCGCCGTGCATGAGAAACTTTCATGTAAACATGGAACCGAACTATCTGAAAGTCTTTAAACACACATGGTGGCATAGCACATATACATCCAACTACATGTGTTGACAATGTCATAAACTTTTCTACGACCATGATATGGGGGCGACGTTCTAGAAACTAGACAAAAACTATAGATATTGTTAGTGCGGTTCACGGCGTCATAAGGAACATCTATGATAGGGAAAATTTAAATAGA